CTATGACACCTGGCACAACCTCAAAATTCTTTTGATAGTTGGAACTTCTTCCTATAATAAGTCCCACAGTTTGTGGCAACAATGTTCCTTTCACTGATGTGGGTACTAAGGCAATGCCATCCCATTTAGAAAGAATCATATCCTTTGAGCTAGCCAAATCAAGGCCAGCTCTGCCTGGTGTTGCTCTAGGCAACTCATGTATGGTAAACTCTGGAGCATCAGGATTTAAAGTTCCTGGCACTGATTCCTTAACTGATTTCTCCTTTCCCTTAAGGATAAACATAGCAGCTCATTAAGAGCCCAAAAAACTGAGTGCAATTGATTAGCACCCATATTTAATTTATATTCCTTTTACTTTCGTTTCCTCGACTTGCGAAACTGCTTTTTACTCACTCCTTATTTATGGAATGGGCAATAAATCTCCCGCTTTGATAGCGGCTATTCCCCCTTCATTTCCAGGGAAAAGCAATTAACCCCCTACTTTGCTGCGGTTGCCTTCTCTCTATTTACAAAGAGAGTTATTAATGAATCCTGCTTTAACAGCAGATGCTTTCCTTTTATTTATAGGAAAAGCAATTAATCGTCCCTACTTTAGTCGTAGGATTCCCATTTACCTGAGAACTATTTTCCCCTGCTTTGGTCACAGGATCCCCAGCTTACCTGAGGACTATTTCCCCTGCTGTTTGTTCATGGTCTGGACCAGGTCCTGACAGCAGGTGTTGCACTGGGGGTCATCTTACCCAGTGGTTAGCATCGTTGTTATCCAAGTGGAGACATCGTCATGTCCCATAGTCTTCTTTGGAGACCTTGGATCACTGTTAGAGTCTCAGAGTCTCTGTCTAATATATGCTTTTTAAACTTTATTTTAAATGCCATTTTATATAGATTTTTGAAGTATTTAGGGCTGTTCAGGTATTTCTGATTAGGCAAACTTTATTATTTTTATTAACTTATATTTTTAACAAACCAAATATATATATATGCCATATTTTTGTTAGAGTGAATCTTAAATATAATTTCTTTGCTGAGTGTGGAGAAAACATTTTTTATTCTAGCATAAACAATTAATCAGTGACTATATTATTAAAGAAAAATATACCCAAATCAATATTTGCTCAGGAAGTTTTTTGGCAAAATATGGCAAAATCATATGATGTTCATAGGACAGAGTTTTTGAGACCCTCACTCTGCCGAGCATACTCACCTCATATTTTTTAATATCACAAAGCTACACAAGCATGCATAAAAGAAATAACCATGACCCTTTCACAAGATAAATCCTTTTAAAACCAGAATTGACCATTAAACATTCAGATATAAGAAATTACAGCAAACTTCTTTTGGCCTCTTATTACCTTTTATGACATTTTATATACCTTTTGTAATTTTTAGGTTTTGACTCCTTTCTCAATCTTTGTTTCATTGATTAAGCCAGACACTTTTAGACAAACCCCTTTTATTATTTTTATTTATTATTATTATTATTTTAGCCTTTTTGCTCTTTTTGGTTTTTAGATAATATGGAAGCCTAATGCATTTTTAACATTTGTTTTAAAATTAATGTTTTTTAAAGTTACAAGTTGGTATAATTTAAAACTTTTTATAAGCAGTATTAGGACAGGAAAGAGTTAAGAGAAGAAACTGCTGGCCAGCGGAAGAAACCTTGAGTGTTATCACAGTGAAAAACTTAGCTCAAAAAAGAAAAGAGGCACAGAAAATGTCCTTTAGCTGCTAATGCCTTTTTAAAATTTTTGTTAACTTTTCTCTGATCATAATTTTAGACTTTTTTGTTTTATATTTGTCTGGTTTTTATTTCCATTTTTATGTTTATTTTTTATTCTTATCTAAGAGCATTCCATCCTTATGGAACTTGGATTTACATTCATTCTTCCAGTGCTTTCTCTTTTTGCACCGGGGACAAAGTCCAGGAGTTCCCCTTTGCCCTGCTCCCCTGGGCCTCCTGCAGTCTTTCTGCATGTGCCCAGGTTTCCCACAATTATAACAAGTGGGAGATGAGGAGTCTCTTACACCTCCTCCATATGTCTTTTTAACATTGGCGCTGAATTTCCAACCCTTCATTGCTGCAGCATAAGCCATTCCTTGGACTAATGCTGATGAGGCATCTCTCATAGATTGCCCCATGGTTCCCTCTGATTACTTACTTCTTGATCGATGATCCTTTACCAACGAGACTGCAGATCTCTGGTAAGAGCCATTCCTGAAAACTAATAAAAGGAAAAAGAAAGAAAAGAGAAAGATTAACTGTCCTTCAAGTCCCTGTTCGGGTGCCTCCTGCTACGGACTGGCTCAGGGGAGCCACTCAGACCGTGGGGGAACAGGACGAAGGACAGAAGATTTCAGGATATGGCGAGGAAATTGACAAACAGTCACTCTCAATGTATTTGAGACATGCTGTTGGTGATTTTTCTGTTCCCGTCTCCTTAAATGTCTTTTCAATTCGGTGGCCCAAGTGAAACAGGATGTGTTCGAGTTGCATTTTAAAAATAAAAAACAGGGACCTGCTACATCCACGGCTGTCTCGCCAGTGTAGCAGAAATGCTGACTGGGCAGACAAGTGTTGCCGGAGGATTGGAATCCGCGCTCCACGGAGATGTGTCCCAGGCTGTCCCTTGGCAATCAGTTGTGGTGTAATGCCACCTGAGTCGCCATTTGTACTGACTCGACCTGGCTGTACTTGGTGCTATATGTCTGTCTTTTTCCTTGTCTGTGTGTTCTTTGTGATCCTTACATATTGCTAACAGATCAGACTATTCCAGGCAGTTGTGGATACAAACAAGACTGCTGAGGACACTTTTGAATTCTGCTCCACTATTAATTAAAGCCTTAAAAAAGATAGCCAGTTCTGGGAATTGGCAAGGTCATCATTAGGACAATTCGTTGATGATGTGGAACAAAAGGAGTTAATCTTACTAGGAGAAACCTTAGAAGCCTTCTGTAGGAAAACAGCTGCAGCAACACTAGATGTTTGCTTGAGAATTACATGCAGGAGGCCTATGCAGCCTTCATTATGGCCAGAATAAACCTAGGCTAATTACAACATCTGAACCTGGGAATCGGGGAGGGAAGAAAGTTGAGATTTATGGTTTCAGACAAGTTTGAGATCATGTCTTTAAAATTTCCTAGCAGAAAGTTTTCCCAGGAAGATAGTGGCCTTCTCCTCTCACACCCCAAGATATTCTGAGCACAAGGTCACTTAGCCCAGCCAGCCGCCTGGTACAGACTGGGCAAAAGTTCTTGTGCCCAAGTCAAAGCATTTTCAAAGATTCTTTTTGTAAACTGTTTTATGCTTTTTTTTATGATCTGATGATGTATGCCTTTGCCAAGTTCTTTGTTTGTAAAAATATAAAAACCTCGCACTGAAAAAGTAAAATCACAACAGCATGTCTCAAATACATTGAGAGTGACTGTTTGTCAATTTCCTCCGTCATATCCTGAAATCTTCTGTCCTTCGTCCTGTTCCCCCACAGTCTGAGTGGCTCCCCTGAGCCGGTCCGTAGCAGTTGGAGACCTTGTCTTAAAGATAACATGGAGAATGAAGAGAAAGATACTCCATGTTGACTCCTGGTCTCCACACATGTGTGCACATACATGGGGGAGATACATCCATACTCACACACACATCACACATGCATATGTACAAAAAAGTGAACATGGATTCATGTTTTCATATTTCTCCTAGAACTCTGAGTAATTTGAGAAAGTAAAAAAAAGCCTACCCTAAAAACAACAAAACCTCTCAGCAGTTATTCACGTTAAAGATTCTGCCCAGCTGGAAATCTTGAGACACCAGAACAGAACCGGTAGTGGCCACAATTCCCCTAGAGTCCAAACAACTATGGCTTGTTCTGCTAACATAATAAAGTGTTTTCATGAGACTAGTATGAGGGCTGAGATGGTCTCTGACCACAAATATGCCACGAGTTCCTAACTCTAGCCCACGTGTAACAAAGCAACCTGGGGACATCCTACAGATTTCAGAATCACCCTTTCCTTCTAAAAACCTTATGTTTTGGCCAGTTCACTATCAAAAAAAAATTCTAATGAGATGGTTTGGGCGGGGGATGTGAAAGCACCCACCACCAAGTCTGATGGTGGCCTCTGTTCAATCCCTAGAAGCCGCATGGTGGAAGGAGAGCTGCACGGTGTCCTCCGACTTCCACGTGCACTGTGGCACACGTGTGTCCATACACATACACACATACACACATACACAACATAAACAAATAAATGTAAAAACAATTCAACTCCAGGACACCAACAGGTGACTTTTACACTAACATGGAACCTCTCTGCTCTTCCCGTTTCCTATGGGATATTTGTTCGAGAACTCGGTCCTCTGAGCTTAATAGCTATTATCAGCTTACTCAAAATAGCTGTGAGTACTCATAAGCAACCTAAGAGATCCAGTTTGTTGACATAAGACATGCAAGGTCATCAGACCTCACCTGAGATCTCAACTGCTCCCTCTGGCGAGTACAGCTCAAATGCGCACACTCACATTGCCAGCTATGACTATATAGCTCTGCGACATCCCGAAGTCAGGCTGTCCATAGGTGAAACATTTACATTGCAGCATCTCTGATTCATGTGTCACTGATACTGCTCCTCCCTAACCACGAGTGTGTATCCCACATCTGCAATTTGTCATGGGACGTGCCAAGTGAACCAGCCCCTCCACTGGTCCCACCTCACCTCACCTCCCTAACCACGAGTGTGTATCCCACGTCTGTGATTTGTCACGGGACATGCTAGGTGAACCAGCCCCTCACTGGGCCCACCTCACCTTCCAGTGTTGAATCTTAGAAGCATTCACATTCAGGTCACTTTCCCTCAGGCCTCCCCTTCTCTCTCCCCGCTTCCCTTGCCCTCCTACCATCAACATGGGACACATTCCCACTCAGAGCGGCAACATGACAGGTTTCCTCAAAGCAGGGATTTCAATTCCTAGTCTACAATGCAAAAACTGCTACAAGTTTTTGTTTCTTACAAAAAGCTTTAATAAAGTCTCACCTCCTCATCTTGAAGGTGTGAGATGTGAATCCCAGAGCTCATGGCCTTACAGACAGCTTGGAAGTAGAAGGGACTGCTGTTCAGAAAGTGGTCTGTGGTCCCATGTGTCTTCATCCTCCCAACTCAGAATGTCCTGAACCACTGCTTATAGGCTGACAAAAACGAAAGTAGCCAGCACATGGAATCTGGCACACTCTCAACATGTGTTTTTCTAATAGATGAGGGAACATAATTGATGATGTACTTTACCCATGGAGTTCACACCAGAGAGCCAGAGCAGTGAGCAAGAGGTGGGTGAGTTCACTTATTAGAGTCACTAAACTCTTTATGGAAGGAGAGCTGTCTTTAAATCAAAGAAATTCCTGTTTGCTTATTAGACATCACTGTGGTCCAAGAGTTCAGAATCGTTAAGGAGTCCACTAAAACGTGCAGTGTTTAAAGCTAAAGGTGGTGAGCTTGCAGAGCCTGGTGCTTAGCTTCTGTTTCGAAGGAAGTCCCAACACAGATACTACCATGAGTAATAAACTAAAAGGAGAACTACTGGGAGCCCAGCTGATCTTCCGGGTGTTAGGGAACCGTGGGGACTGGCTTCTTGCTAGTCATGATGCGCAGAAGTGAGGGCTTGCCTGACTACAAGTGTCCAAGGTGGCCATGCACAGTACACAGGCTGATGGGAAAGAAACAAGCCCGGTCTCCTGAGGTATCAAGTTTAGGTTGCTGAGAAAGGGATGGAGGACAAACACCAAAGTACTCCATTGTGTCTGTTCCCTTCCGACAGGAGAAAGGCCCCTGAGCAAGCAGCCTGAAAGCTCTCTGGAACACATTGAGGGTGCCATCTTGCAGATGCATGCTGTTCGTGTCCTCCATATTTTCAATTTCAGATCTTCCATCACAATCACTATTTCACTCACACAGTGGAGATCAGTGGACTTACATGTTTCGAATATTCATCTGAAATCAGTCAGAGTGGAAATTTCAATTTTTCTGGCAATTATAAATTATAAGTTTTTTTATTTTTTTATTAATTTATAAAAGTTTCCACTTCCTCCCCTCCTCCCAATACCCTCCCATTACCCCCACTCCCTCTCCTCCTCCCTCTCCAGCCCTAAGAGCAGTCAGTGTTTCCTGCCCTATGGGAAGTTCAAGTTCCTCCCTCCAGGTCTAGGAAGGTGAGCATCCAAACTGACTAGGATCCCAAAAATCCAGAACATGCAGAGGAAACAAGTCCCAGTGCCATTATCAATGGCTTCTCAGACAGTCCCCGTGTCAGCCACATTCAGAGAATCCGGCCACATTCAGAGAATCCAGTTTGATCACGTGCTCGTTCAGTTCCAGTCTAGCTGGCCTTGATGAACTCTCATTAGATCAGTCCCCTTGTATCAGTGGGTGCATGCACTCCTCACAGTCCTGCCTTTCTTGTTCATGTTCTCCCTCCTTCTGCTCCTCATTTGGACCTTGGGGGCTCAGTCCAGTGATCCAATGTGGGTCTCTGTCTCAATCTCCCAGCAATTCCACTCTTGGGAATATACCCAAGAGATGCCCTATCATACCACAAAAGCATTTGTTCAACTATGTTCATAACAGCACTATTTGTAATAGCCAGAACCTGGAAACAACCTAGGTGCCCCTCAATAGAAGAATGGTTAAAGAAGGTGTGAAACATATATACATTAGAGTTTTATTCAGCGGTAAAAAACAATGACATCTTGAATTTTGCATGCAAATGGATGGAAATAGAAAACGCTTTACTGAGTGAGGTAACCCAGACCCAAAAAGAGGAATATGGTATGTACGCACTCATAACTGGATTCTATCCATAATTAAAGGTCTTTGAGCCTATTATTCATGATCCTAGAGAAGCTAAATAAGAAGGCGAACCTGAAGAAAATCATGTAGTTTTCCTCCTGGATATTGGAAGTAGACAAGAGTGCCAGGCAACATTGGGTGCACGGAGGCGGGAGTGGATGGAAGGGGAGAGGGTTAAGTTTTTTAATAGTATCATTGGTTATGCTTTAAACTGAAGATTTTTAAATTGTGAGGAACAAAGTTGACACATGTGATGGTCAGGGTCAATTGACGACTTGACAAAATCTAGAATCACCTAGGAGATGGGTCTCTGAGCATGGCTGGAATGGATGCTCTTAACTGAGTTCAGGACGATCCACTCTGAATGAGACCAGCACCATTCTAAAGGCTAGCTCCGGAGTGGACAAAGGAAGGGGGACTGAGCAGCAACCGTGCACCCGTTCACTGCTCTTCTGTTCTGACTGCAGACATAACCTGCCCAGCTCCCTCAAGTTCCTCACACGTGCTTCCTTGCCCTGGAGGATCATGACCTGGGACTGTCAAATAAATAAGTTCACAATTGCTTTTGTTGAGTTGCTCTTGTCTGAGTATTTTAGCAAAGCAACAAGAACAGACTCTAAGACAGAAATCGGTACCAAGAGTGGGCTCCCTGCTGTGATAAACCTTGCCATGTGGCTCTTCCCATCTTTTGAAGTGTTTTACAGCTAGAATGTGGGAGTTTGGAATTTGGGGCTAGAAAATCCTTAGAGGCTGGAAGCAGAGCTTAATGATCAGTTCTGATGGGATCATAGAAGAGTAGAATACTGAGAAAAAAATGCCCGACTCCAGCAAAAGTTGGAAGCATGGGGTGGGATGGGGTGGGAGGAGGGGGAGAGGGGGAGAGGGGGAGAAAGAAGGGAGAAGGGGAGGATTGGGGAGAATTTGGGGGAGTGGGATGGTTGAGATGGAGGAAGGCAGATATGGGAGCAGAGAAGAAGATATCTTAATTAAGGGAGCCATTTTAGGTCTGACAAGAGACTTGGCTCTAGAGGGGATCCCAGGTGTCCACAAGATGTCCCCTGCTAGGTCCTTGGACAGCAGAGGAGAGAGTGCCTGAACTGGCTTTGTCCCATAGTCACACTGATAAATATCTCGAATATCACCATAAAACCTTCGTCTGGCGATGGATGAAGATAGAGACAGAGACCCACATCAGAGCACTGGACTGAGCTCCCAAGGTCCAGATGAAGAGCAGAAGGAGGGAGTATATGAGCAAGGAAGTCAGGACCGTGAGGGGTGCACCCACCCACTGAGACAGTGGGGCTGATCTAATGGGAGCTCACGGAGGCCAGCTGGACTGGTCTCTCTGATTGTGGCTGACAATTGGGGGCTGACTGAGAAGACAATGGTAACGGCACTGGGATTTGATTCTACTGCATGTACTGACTTTTAGGGATCCTACTCTGTTTGAATGCATGCCTTCCTAGACCTGGATGGAGGCAGGAGGGCCTTGGGTTTAGGACTGGAGGGGGAGAAGGGAGGGTGAGTGGGAGAGCGGGAGGGAAATGGGAAGAGGGGAGGAGGTGGAAATTTTGAATGGTATTATTTATAAAGCAATAAGAAAAATTTAAAAATAATAAATAAATAAATAGAATGCCGGCTCCAAGGACTCTGTCAGGAACTGAGCTGGGGACCATTTGCGTCATATTTGGGACAAGGATCTGGCTTCATCCTGCCCATGTCCTGAGAACCTGAGTGAAGACAAACTGAAACATTATAGACTGGTTTGTTTGACAAGGGCATGTTCAAACGGGAGAGTGTCCAGGATGGTGCTGAGAAGGTAGCTGAGGTTGTTAAAGAGATAATAAATAGTATATAATTAATTCTTTTAATTTTAAGTATGTGAATGAATTTGTGTCTGTGTGTGGGTATGTGCTGGTGCGCACAGAGGCCAGAGGACCACGCTAGAGTTAGAAGTTGTTATGAGCCACCACCACAGTGCTGGGAACCAAACTGAGGTCCTCTACAGGAGCAGCAAGTGCACCTAAACACTGAGCCACTTCTCCAGTCAGATTAAGGCACAGTTGGCTCTGACACTTATTCCAGGGCTGGGATAAGCAGAAGAACGGTAGAGACATCTGAGGACACTAGAAAGAACCCCTGGGGAAAGGTTCTCATTTCTGGAAATGTTTGAAACAAGTTTCCTGAATGTTTCTGATGTTTTCCCACTGCCACAGAATGAACTTGGCCTTAGATCTAAACAAAGGCATAAGATCAAACAAACACATGAAATGGCCCCAACAGTGCCTGGCACATTACAAGATTCACAGCCTGTTATCAGTTCCTCCCATGCTGAGTGCGTGAGGCTCTACACCAGCTGAGTGGACACATGTCAGAGGGGGTTACTGAGCCAACTCCAATCTCCCAGAAACTCACAGTCTTTTTAAACAGGGCCACTGAGCGCGACGGCGAGAGGGAAGAAAGGCGCACCTGTGCTCTGCCGCTGTCAGTGGCCCTTCCTGCGCTGGGAATCCGCAGCAGCTTCAAGCAGTTATAGACTTGGGTCTTATGCTATCCACCACTGCAGAGATGACAGCACCTGCAGCCTTCGCCCCCTCCGCCAGGGCATGCTCCACCTGAAAAGCACAGTGGTTCATGGGACAGTGGGAACCAATCTCAGGCTGACCCCACCTCTGCTCCTACCGCTCCCACCTCCTTCAGGACCCAGCCGTCCTAGAGTCTTTCCCTATAGCAGGGGACCACTGATGCTATCCTACATCTCCAACATCCCTAAAGTTTCCAGAGACCCAGCAAAGGAGGCACCTCAAGACAGGTTCCCTTTCCCCTGGCCATGGACCTTCTGGCCTTTTTCTTCCCCAGGAACCATTCAACATAGAATCTGCCTCCAGAGTAGTGCACGATGCAAGGGGTCTCTCCATAGGAAAGGCTGAAGCCACTGAGGCCCTCATTCAACAAAAAGGGACTCTGAAAGCCAGGGAGGGAAACTCACCTGGGCACAACTGCGCGTGAATCGGTATTCACACTTAGCTCAATCTCACGGCTCCTGGGCACACAGGTCTTCAGAGGACCGCTTATTGTGCCCTTCATTTGCAGGTAACTGCTCATGGGATGTGAGATCCTTCATACTACAGCCCACCGAGCCTCTAGCACAAAGTCTCACAGAACAGAGCCCAGACAAGCCGAGGATACAGCGTAGAGAGGAGAGTGCAGGAAAACAAAGTAGACAGAGGGAAAGGGGCATGCTCTGAGAGACAAATAACAGGGAGACTTGACCCCACTCTGTGCAGGGAAGATAAAAATCACAGAAGAGGCAAAACCAAAAAATGATGCTCCACCTTTAATATTTTGGGTTTTTTAAATTATTTTACATATCTAAAAGGAGCTGCACAATCCCTCTGCTCATAAAATTTTTTAGTAAAGGTCAACTATTAATGAGAGCAGCTTAACTTGTTACAGATATTGGGGCTTCCGGGCTCTTTCACATGTGATGTATGTTGTATGTTATCACTGGCTGTCTGAGATAGGCAGGTAATACGACAAGAGCTGGAAGATGGCACACCTACCCCTAGCACCTAAAGTAGTCCAACAAAGCCCAGCAGAGCCCAGTGAGGGGCCGCTGGGGGCACACGGGACGCACCTGCTGGCTCCTGGGCACACCGTATCTAAGGTCGTTGACGAAGTGCTCACAGTTCCCCTCAATCAGGCTGTACTGCACTATCTTGTTGATCATGTTTTTTGTACGCTGGATGATCTTGTCCACGGGGAGGGGCAGGTACGTCCCGTCCAGCTTGTTGTTGATCTTCCAAGAGCAGCCATGCAGCACGTCCTCCAGGCGGCTGTACTTCACCACAGCACGGTTGCTGAAGATAGAGGTGATGCTGCCCACCTCAAACTCCTCACCTGGGGAGCAAGGACAAAGGGAGAGCCCCAGGGAGTAAGGGCTCAGCCGCTTCCCATGAAGGTCTCAATCAAACCGTCGGCTTAAAGCATGGCAGAGGAGAAGAAATCGGATTAAATGGACCATGGAGGACCAACTTTCCTGAGAGCTGCTTTTCTTGGGGGTGACGGGAGGGAATGCACATGTGGGTGAGAGGGTGTGCACTGCACATGAACGCTAGTGTGGATGCCTGTGTGGAGGCCAGAAATCAGGGTCAATTATCTTCCTGAATCAATCTCCAGCTCTCCAAGAGCACACCTGTTGGCTAGACAGGCTGGCCAATGGGCTCTGGGAACCACCTGTCTCTGCCATACACAGATTTTTACATGAGCGCTGGGGATCTCTACTCAGAATCTCAGAAACTTAGGCAGGCCCCACCCAAGAAATCTGTCCTGAGTTACACGCTCTCTTCACCTACAGAAGAATCTCTCGTCAGTAACTCTGAAAATGCTTTATCACACAGCCCCGGACTAGCTGCACTGGCCTAGCCTTTCTTAGAAGTTGAGTCTTGTTCCCCAAGTAGATGTCAGTAATCTGCACCCTCTGTGTCACCCCCGGGTAAGGCTCTGTCCTGTGCATGATAACAGTGGTTCTATAACATGCCTTCCTCTGCATGGGAATAGTGAATAGTATGTGGATCTCTGGTGCCTGCTCTACCACCATCCACTCAGAGCCAATGGTGTTTGTTACCACCAAGAAGGGCCTCTGAAGCTTGGGGAAAAGAAACATTTAAAGGTGCTACATTCTCTCACACTCAGTGCTTAAAAGACAAACTCCAAGAGGCTTAGGAACCTGTCTGAGGCCACATGGGTAGACATTAAATAACACCTACAAGAGATGATTTTCAGTATTCTCATCAAAAAGAAATGATAGGGCTGGGGGCTGCTTAGTGGATAGAGCATTTGCCCACAAGCATGAAGATAAAAGCTCATATCCTCAGAACGTATGGGAAAGCCTGGCAAGAATAGAGGTCATCTGTAACCCCAATCCTTGGGCAGGAGAAATGAAGACCCCCAGGGCTATCCCAAAATTGGTAAGCTGTAATGGACCTTACATTACAGAGAGAGTGATCAAGAAAGACACCTGATACCAAGGTGCCTGTTGGCATGGTGTGCTGTAGGGTAATCCTTCTGTATGCTGTGAATATGTATTACTCTCATTAGTTAATAATAAAGCTGTTTGGCCTATAGCAAAGCAGGATAAAGTTAGGTGGACAAACTGAGGACTGGGATGAAGAGGGCAGAGTTGAGAGAGATGCCAGCGAGGTGCCCAAGAAGCAAGATGTTAGAGTAATGTGGGATTCCCCTCTGTATGCTGTGATTATGTTTTATTGTCATTAATTAATATAGAAGTAGCTTTTGGAAAATGGCTTAACAGAGTAAAGCCAGGCAGAAAATCCAGAGATGTAGAGAAAGAGTAGGCAGAGTCAACAAGACACCATGTAGCTGCCTCAGGAGACAGATGGAACCTTACTGGTAGGCCACAACCACATGACGATACACTGATTAATAGAAATGGGTTAATTTAAGATATAAGAGTTAACTAGAAATATGCATGAGCTGTTGGCCAAACAGTGTTGCAATTAATACAGTTTCTGTGTGATTATTTTAGGTCTGGACAGCCAGGAAACAAACAAGCAACCTCTGCCTACACTAAAGGACAGGTAAAGCCACGAGCCACATGGAAATATATAGATTAATAGAAATGGGTTAATTTAAAGATAAGAGCTAGTTTGTAATAAGACTGAGCTATTGGCCAAGCATTTTGTAATTAATATAAGCTTCTGTATGTTTATTTGGGATCGGACGATCAGGACAAAAGAAAAACTCTGCCTCCGTTTACAATGATGACGTTTCAGGCCTCCACATGTGAGTGCAAGAAAACAAGCACACACACAGAGACCATTATATGCACTTACACATACAGAGCAAAAAATATTAGAGGGAGATGGATATGCTAACTGCCTGTGTGTGGTGATTGCACATCGCAAAGCACTCTGAATCATACTGTCTCTCACAAACATCTACCATTATTATCAGTTAAGGACAGGACATTTTAAAAGACTATTTTTCCACAGGAGCCACCTGGATGGTTGCACACAGTGTGTGTCTCTAAGATTTCCAAGAGCAAAAAAAATAATAATTTTAAAAATTAAAAAATCCCTTATTCTATTCCTGTGTGTTCCAAAAAAACCTACTGATTTCACAAAAACCAATTTAACTCCTTTAACAGCCCTACTTTGCCCCTGCAGTGGTCATAGTGGGAGGAGCATTATGGGACCACTGTCAGCATGAACAGGCACAGAGATGACAGAATTTACCTTAGAGAAGGAGCTAGTGAGGGAGGGAATCACTGCTAACCATCTCTTTAGCTATACAAGCTGGGTGTCTGGACACAGGCTGCAGGAAAAAGTGGAGGTGCTGTTTTTTATACCATGCTTTAGTGTTTTCACTTATCCTTTGAAGATTTCTTGCAATGTATTTTGATCATCGTCTCCTCCCTCAGCTCCTCCCAGATCCTCCCCTCCCCTCTTTGATTAGGCTCCTAGACAAAGAATGGAGACAGGAAGTGGGTGGGGTTGAAAAGAGAAGAGGAAAAGGACCCTGCTCTGCAGGAAGGTCCTGCCAAGGTCAGGGATGGAGCCCAAGGGAAAGCTCACAGGAATCAAAGCTGCAAATCAAAGACCTTGGCAGTGCCCTTCTGTGATTCTATTTTGAGCCAGCAAGAGCTACAGGGGACACTTTGAAAGACATCAAATCACCCCTCCCCCACCCCGCACTGCACTCCCAGGACCAGAACCCTGAGACGGCCACTGTGAACAATGGTTCCAGACTACGTTCAATTGTGAGTTGTTTCACAGTCCTCTGCAATCTCCCTCTATTTTCACCATCTGGTCCCTCACCAAATCTCCACTTCACTTTAATGAGCCCCACGCCCAATCAAAACCATAGGATATGCAATAAGGACCAGACGAACATTGAGGGTAAGGCAGCCTAGAGCTCACTGGAATATCAGGAAGACAAAGGCAGGAAGGTGACAAAAGATGACAAGGAAGGGGGAAGCAGCAGTTAGGAAAAACAGGAAACAAGTGGCATGTGAGCTTCTGCCCTCCACGGTGTCTGCATCATGATGAAGGATGCTAAATGATTGACATCAGAAACAGAGGTCAAAAGGGACATTAGGGACACTCTACACCCCTGTCACTTGGTGCTTACTAAGAAATAAATGTCCAGGAATGTTTGGTGCTAAAAGGCAATGGCTAAGTACCACAGTGATTGACTAGCCTTCTGTTGATTTTGCTAATGTTCATAGCAGTATCTCAATAGCGTATCCACTCTTACTTGGGGGAGCCAGGTGGACCACACAATCATCTTCTACGTAGATGGCCCAATGTTCATAGCCAATTCGAAAAATCTCAATGAGGTCTCCAGGTCTGGGTCTTGGTTTGTCCTATGATAGGAAGAAAGAGAGAGATAAACTGAACATGTCCAAGGAACTCCAGAAACACAGCTCAGCCTGTATGTAGGTCACCTCACTGTGGCCCACCACTTGACAAAAATTCAACCTGAACCCTCTTTATCAGAAGACCACAAATGTCCGCTTCCCTGACATAATACCAGGTTGTCTGAGTTGGTGATCAGTGTGTGGACTCTCAGCTCTGAGTGCACCAACGCAGTCCCTGCAGCCCCTGCAGCACATGCTGTAACTCCTGACACCTCTCCTTGGAAGCGAGCATATTAAGCTTTCAACGTAGTGGGTACTGCAGAATCATTGCAAGAGGAAGGAGCCTTGTGCAGCGTTAGGGGTGGACAGGCAGGATGCTGGTCACTATGGGGGTACGTAAAGTTCTGCCTTGGCTCAGAATCCTCAGCACCATCTACCTTGCAGTCCTGGCCTGAGGCAGAGCTCTCTGCAGCATGTCTGATGTCATGACCAGTGTCTAAAGGCCTGCCATCCTTTCTGACAGTTTGACTCCCTCTGCAAGTCCTCTAGGTGGCTCACCTGAAGCCACATCAGTGGCACACTAGCAGAATCACCAGGGAACCTATTATCAGATGACTTCAATCACATGATGTGGGATTCCCCTCTGTATGCTGTGAATACCATTGGTTAATAAAGAAACTGGCTTGGCCTGATAGGATAGAACAGAGCTAGGTGGGGAAAACTAAACTGAATGCTGGGAGAAGGAAGGCAGAGTCAGAGGAGAAGCCATGGAGCCACCACCAGAGAAAGACATGCTGAAACCTTGCCAGTAGGCCATGAGCCTTGTGGTAAAGTATAAAATAATGAAGATGGGTTAAATTAATATGTAAGAGTTAGCCAATAAGAAGCTAGAGCTAATGGGCCAAGCAGTGATTTAATTAGTACAGTTTCTGTGTGGTTATTTTGGGGTTGAGCAGCCAGGAACAAACAAGCAGCCTTACTACAACAATCACAACTCTCCAATGAAGTCTGAACTTCTCCCAAGTGTGTCCTTCCCTGAGGATGTTCTCTCAATGCTGAGAGGCCCTACAGTCCTCACACTTCACAGACAAAACTTTCATCAGTTTCATAATACTTAAATTCCTCCAGTTCAACCTACTGAGGGACTCCTGCCTCCTGACTGGACCCAGAATGCTGATGCACTGTCTCTCAAAGAGGCCCAGAGGAGAAAGAATGCTCACCTGACAAGGTCTGTATGTGCTTCTGTGTGTATTTGTGTGTGAATGTGTATATGTGTGAGTGTATCTGGGTGTCTGTCTATATGTGTGTGAGTAGGTGTGAGGGTAAATATGTGTGAGTTTTGAGTGTGCAACTATAGAGGGTGGAGTGGTATATGAGTATGAGTGTGTGTGTGTGAATTGTGAGAGTATGTATGAGCATGTGAAAGCATAGGATTGGAGGCCAACTGGGCTGTGAATGTGTGAGTGTGTATAAGTGTGTGTGTGTGTGTGTGCTTTTCAGGAAGAGAATGAACATATCCATGAAGCATAAGTACAACATTATAAATATGAGGAGCAGTGGTGGCCCACGCCTTTCATCCCAGCATTCAGAAAGCAGAAGCAGGCGGATCTCTGTGAGTCTGGGGCCAGCCTAGTCTACAGAACTAGTTCTAGGACAGCCAAGGCAACTCAAAGAAACCCTGTCTCAAAAATAAAAGCATGAGGAGCATCCAGGTCATTGAAAATTATCTATTAGTGGCCAATGAGGTGGCTCATCGAGTTAAGGCACTTGTCCCCAAGCCACATAACCTGAGCTCAATCCCCAGAACACATACAGTGAAAGGAGAGAACAAACTCCCACAGGTTTGTCCTCTGATCTTCATATATGCATTGTGGCATACAGACACACACACATGAACACATACATACACATATACATGAATATACATCAAATAAACTTGAATTAAAAAAATAATACAAGTTGGGTGTGGTGGTACATGTCTTTAATCCCAGCATTCAGGAGGTAAAGGCAGGTGGAACCCTGTGAGTTCAAGGCCAGACTGGTGCACAGAGTGCAGTTGTTCTCGACCTGTGGGTTATGACCCTTTGGGGGGTCAAATGATCCTTTTACAGGGGTTGCCTAAGAACATCTTCATATCAGATATTTACATTGCGATTCATAACCACAGCAAAATTAAAGTTATGAAATAGTAACAGAAACAATTTTATGGTTGGGGGTCACTACAACATGAGGACCTATATTAAGGGTCAAAGCATAAGGAAAGTTGAGAAGTACTGACATAGTGAATTCCAGGATAGCTGGGGTTACATAGAGAGACCTTATCTCAAAACGTCAAAAAAGATAATAATAGAAGTAAAAATATGTATTGGTCACTTAATTCATGCCAACTATTGCTGTGCTGGGTATTAAGGATGCAGATCAGTCTGGAACAGTGGAGGCAGAGAAATATTGGGATGTTCACTGGTGTGTCTGGGGAAATGTGAAAAGGAAGGTGAAGGGCAATTGGGCAGATGAGTGAATACAAGTGTTTGTGCACACACGTGTGTGTGCGTGTGTGTGTGTGTGTGTGTGTATATATATATATGCACACATGTGTACAGCATATGTGTGCCTGCTGACATTATACAAATACCTGCGGTTCTATGTACACGTAACACATATGTATCCCAATGTGTACCCAGTAAGCTTCCCCAGTAATTGATTTCCTGCAATCACCAAAATTTCTTTATCACTTCCGTTCCAGTAACGAGCTCTTTAACATAAGATTTCTTTTTTTATTTTACATATCAATCCCAGTTTCCTCTCTCTCCCCGCTCCAGCTCCCTCCACCTTCTCCCTACCCTACCCCCATCCATTCCTCAGAGAGACAAAGTTACTTGAGGAAGGACCAAGCCCTCCTCTCTGTATCTAGGCTGAATAAGGTATCCCTCCATAGGGAATGGGCTCTAAAAAGCCAGTTCAAACACTAGGGATAAATGTTGGTTCCATGGCCAGAGGCCCCACAAACAGAGGACCCAAGTCACACAAATGTCACAAAACATTCAGAGGGCCTCGTTCAGTCCCATGCAGGCTCCCCAGAGTCAGTCCAGAGTCAGTGAGCTCCCACTAGCTCGGGTCATCTGTTTCTGTGGGTATCTCCATCATGATCTTGATGCCTTTGCTCATAACATCACTCCTCCCTCTCTGTGACTAAACTTTAGGAGCTTGGCCCAGTGCTTAGCTGTGGATCTCTGCATCTGCTTCCATGATTTACTGGATGAAGGTTCTATGATGACAGATAACCAGCCTACAGTTCCCAACCCCAGAGAAGCTAGGAAAAGAGGACCCTAAGAGAAAAATACATGGATCCCCTAGGAAGGAGAAATAGACAAGATCCCCTGAGTAAATTGGGAGTGGGGGGGGGGGGACAAGGGAAGAGGCGGGAGAACATGAGGGATCAGAAAGGTCGAGTTGAGGGAAGAACAGAGAGGGAGAACAAGAAAAGAGATATCTTGATAGAGGGAGCCATTATGGGGTCAGCAAGAAACCTGGCACTAGGGAAATCCCCAGGAATCTACAAGGATGATCACAGCTAAGAATTTAAGCAATAATGGAGAACTGCCCATTCCCTGTAAGCAGATTGATGACTACTTCAACATAAGATTTCTAACCTAAGCTCTTTCTCCTGGGCAGCCTCCCTATCCCCTAAGTGTATCAGGGAGTGGTCCTGGGAGAGAGAGGCTTACTCACTGCTGCCCAGACTAGGAAGTCAGAGTCAAGAGAGGCGTGAGCTACCAGATGTTCCTATCCACCTTGCATTACACAGCTCCTGTTGTAGGAAGCCGCTTGTTTGTTCCCAGCTGCTCAGCCCCGAAATGTTTCCAAGAGAATGGTAGCCACCAAAGACACTCCACTTGGAGTTTGTTTTCTTCTTGGCAAAATTGGCCTTTGGGCAAGGAACTGCCCATGCATCAATCACTGACAAAGTACACAAGGAAAAGGACTGCCAAACCTTGCCAAGACAGGGTAAGACAGTTCTGAAAACTTTCCTGTCTCTGAAAATGGACTGTCAGTTACACTAGGCCTTAGCCAAAGCTGGTTGCTTCAAAGTTGCAAATGAGACTTTGGGTGATTGCTCAGGTAGTCAGTTGTCTCTGTCATATACTGCTCACTTTGGAAGCTGCTTGATTGCATTTCCTACCTACTCAAGTAATATTATCTCCCTTCTCAGGCCTTCAATGGGGTTGAAGATTAGATAGTTGTAGTTAGCTTTCTCTTATGATTTATTTAGCCAAGCCATTTCCAATGCAAGACTTTGACTCTTTAGAATAGAATGTTTATTAAACATTTAGCATATGTTTCTTGCTTAATATTGTTTATATTGGTTGTAATCCTAATTTTATACTTGATATCTGTTCCTAATGTATATAGTTTTGTATTGGGTTTGGAACTCTTTTTAGACAAAAGGAAAAGGTGATGGGGAAATCTCTGTCAGCTAATGAACTTTAAGGGGTGGGACCAAGTTAGGGTGTGGCTTTCTGGGTACCTGGAGAAAAGGGCCTGGTGACCCAGGGTTCTCTCTCTCTCTCTCTCTCTCTCTCTCTCTCTCTCTCTGTGTGTGTGTGTGTGTGTGTGTGTGTGTGTGTGTGTGTGTTTCCCACACTACACAGCTGAGCTTGAACTTCTCATTCCTGTTTTGTGTGTCTGCCCCTTATAATAAAGAAAAATGCAATTGGTCTATCTTGCAGCTAACCTGGTATTTATCAACCCACGATAATTCAACATGCTCCTTATCACAAATATATAAGTTTCTCAACCACTGCTTCACCAGAACAAGAATTCAGACAGAGGAGCTGGAAAGATGCTCAGTCATCTGCTCTAGCAGAGGACCTGGATTTGGTTCCCAGCACCCACATCAGGTGACTCACAACTGCAGCCCCAATTCCAGGGTATCTGACACTTCTTCATACATCTATTCTCAATTGTTCCTTTTGCCCAGTCCCTCTCCTGGCCCCGGGCTGGGTCTC